TTCAAACTATCATGACCCCACGGTATGTCATATTCCACCACTTTCACAGTACTCACCTTACCTTTTCTCTGCCTTTGTGTCTGTATATCGCCTTTACATCCTTGAATCACTTTTCTGTTTCCCCTCTCGACTTTTTCTCACTCTGATGTTCTTCCCCTCTGTGAAGCCCGAAGTCAGCTAAAGGGCTATCCATAATGCCGGCCATTTGAAATAAATAAGTACTTATTACATTCTCATTATTGAACAATTTATTTATTTATTTATATCAAATGGCAGGCGTCTTGATGGTTATCATTAGCCCTTTAGTTGACTTCAGACATCACAGAGGAGAAGGAACATCAAATTGAAAAAAGTCGAGAGGTGGGGGGACAGAAGAGTGTTTCAAAGATGTAAGAGACAAACACAAAGGTAGAAAAAGGTAAGAAGAGTACTGTGGAAATAGTCGAATATGGCATAGAGTGAGGTGGTGGTAGTTTGAAGTGAGAAGTCAACTGCCAGTTAATAGACATTTTTGCCGTATGAATATACGTTGCCCAGGGTGCACCACGTGGAGGTAAGTCTATCGCACACCCCCATTATTGAACAAAGAATGCGAAAACTCACACCTCCCCCCTGTCCCTGGTGTAAACTAGGTTTAGCCCAAAAAGTACCGATTCCTTCTTTTCTCGAGTCCTTTTCTAACTCATATTTCACTGCGTTTGTATGATATTCACCAGTTTCAACAGAATTTTTGATCTCTAGACTTTAAGGAAATGGCGCCGGATTCTATTAGCCCTTAAGGAAGTCATTAGTTTTACAGAAGGAGGACTGTTAAAGTAGTTATACTACTTGGAAAACTACTATTATCTAATAGAAGGTAATAAAGAACCTGAAATGCTATTACCTGGCAAGCCTTAGTCAGCTCAGATAGTGCAAGAATTGGAAGTGTTCGTAGTTTTTCCTTTACGAAGGTGCGGATTTCCGGATCATTTACCATGGAGTACTCTTGACTACGGTCTGGTTCTTCTACCTTCTCATGAATCGAAGGCACGATTGCAGGTGGCATAATCGTTTTGGATAATGAGGGAGTTTGAATTGGTGGTGATGGGTCAGTCTCCATTGGATGATGACCTGGCGACTTTGGTTCTTGTTTGAGAACTACAAAGATGATGTGGTGATGAGGAAGTTCAATTCCACCGTGGGAAAGAATTCTACAATGCCCCATTTACTTATAAAACCCCGTACATACGCCATTTAACTTGAGTTAATTTCCTTAAGTTTTTCACACAATAAACGAAAATGAGAGACAAAATTGGGAATATATTTAAATTTGTAAAGACATTATAGAGAAACCAATTAATGAGGCTATACTTGAATTTGTGACAAGTTTGTGCTGACGAACCTATTTCAGACTAACTTGAAGTAGAAAATTTAACGATCCATAAGCCGATATTCCAAGGAGGGAGGAAAGGACCCAATTTCTTTCTGTCATAGAGAAGATTAAGTTCGTTGAAGAAAAATATTTAAAACAGTGTACCTTATAAGACTGCCACCTTGTTGGTGTGTACGTATTAAGAAAGACTGATCTAATCTGAACAGAAGAAAAGAGTGGGCATTAGACAGTAGGTCCTCATGTCCCAAGAGAATTCAAGGTTTGCCAATAACTTGGAGGTTAAATGCCTGCATGTCTTTATAATATGAATGTTTTTCAAAGCTTATAAAGAAAGCTCAGTACAAATACAAAGAGTCAATTTTTAATGTCGCATTCGAAAATAAAATCAATTCTACGAAACCGACAAAAGATAAGAAGTTAAAAATTATTAAACAACATCGAGAAATTGCAATGCTTAAACTTACGATCGCCTGATGGATCAGTAGCCACCCTAAAAGACAACGGCGAATTCGCTGCCTGCATAGCTGAAGCCATTGAAATAATAGCAGCTGGAGTAGGTGGCTGAGTACGTTTTGGAACAGACGGTGGTAGTGGTGGCGGTGAGGCCGAACGCGTACTGCTACCCTCATTGAACAATGGAGGTGGCGGGATCGGTGTAGAATTTTCCTTGCTGATAGTGGCGCTGTCGGTAGGCGATTTGGGTAGATTACTATCGTTGACTGAAGAAAGTGGCGTGGGTGGTGGGGTTTGGGGGACGTTATTGCTTACAACAGCCATGCAACCTGCAGAAGCATTAGTGCACAAATAGTTAACAGTGACTTGATCGCCAGATGTACTATCACTTCTGGTACGAGCTCGTTTAGCAGGTGGAGAGCGGACTATGGGGTGAGAAGAGGACTGTGATTTATCTGGAGAGTGGCTAAGTAGACGACAACGGCGCTGACCCCTGGGTGAAGGGAAAAGATCGTCAGTGTCGCTTCCTGAGAGGCGACCGGAGCATCTACGTCTGCGTTGAACTGTATCTATATTTGGAAATATGATAATTAATTAATACTTTTAAATGAAATTAAACTTAGATAATACCTATAAAGTCACTTCTTTCCATTCTTGGAAAACAAGTCGAATGAATAGAGACAACGTGAACATAGCATAGCAAAGAGTAGGTATGGTCAGAACTCAAATAAAAGTAGATAATTGGATTAAATATTTATGTAAGACTTTCATGCAATCCACGGCATCCAAAAAATGTTCCTGATATTAAGACAAGCAATTTTTCCCTTGTTTTTGGCAATACAAATACTAGTAAATATCAAGAAGGATGAAAAAAATTCGACGCATTTTGGAAATAAACAAATATTTCCTAGATAAAAGAAAGGGAGACAGCCTAATTGTCTGTAAATAGCAATCGACAACGAAAATCAGCAACCCAACATCCAGATCAATATCCAACTTGATAGACTTTAAATTAATTTCTGATGTGGGCATAATTATGAACCAAGCCATTAAGAGAAGAATTCGAAAGTAAGTGAAGTCAAAGCCTATTACGATCGAAATGCGTCTATTCAAATTGGCTCAAAAATGAAATTAGAAATGTTAAAAGTTATTTCTGTAATTTGAAAGGACTAAAATATCATTTAAGTAAACAATAAAAGTACAGATTACAAAGGCTAGGTGCTCATGGATGCTTCAAGGTAAGACTATTCAAAACTCTAAAACAAAAGATTAAAACAGTATTTTTGATAAGGTTAAAGCAGCTGATGCCTGATAAAATTCTCATTATTCGATAGAGCTAAATTCGAAAAAAGGAAATTTAAGGCATCATTTTGATTGGCTGAATATACCGCCGCAACTTGTAAATGAACCATTGTTACAATAACTTGATATGCACAAAGCTAATTCAATGATGGCATGCTTTTCATATTATAAAATGAAGAAAGGCATTTTTTTAAGAAGAAAATGCTCACCAGATACAAGAACATCCAGTTTGAGTTGTGAGCAGAGTTGTCGAATTCGTAACTCCCAATTTTCCGCGTGCTGGTGGACAACATCCGGGTGCCTAAAGAGGCAGCGAGATTTATACATCCTCATAAGTGAAATGCGACATCAAATAACCCTTTGATTTGATCGGTAGTGTCAGTGGTTCAACGACAATTTCCTCACTTTGCCATCGTTATCTCCAACCTATCTACTCTCCAGCTTACCAACCCCCTCCCCCTCCCTCTTTCAAATATCGTTTGCAAAACAGTCTTGGTCCAATTCCTCTCTTGAAAACTTAAGATACAACCTTAAAAATGAAAAAAAAAACCCAATTTAAAATAAGTACCTCTTTATGAAATCAACATCTGGTGGACGGAATTCCCAGTGATTATTGTGGCCCTCAGTTCCCGATGAGATACGATGGCCCAGAGATTCCATAATTTCCGTAACTTCGAGAGAAGGCAACTAAAGAAAGATAAAACAGAAACAAATTGTGAGAACAAGCATGAACGACATACTTTTGTAACTGAAGAAACCGTCTTTCTTGTGAGATGACCATTCCTATGAAATACGGCCATCTAAAAATGATAGAAATGGGTGGTAGTTTAATAAATAATGCAAACAGAGTGGGCATTTAACATACCACATAGTCACGAGCACGAATGAGTTGGGTGCTGGGAACAGCAGCGTGTTCACTTAATGAGTTTGGGGGGTAGAGGACATCACTAAAACGAAAAAGTTAGCAAATAAATATTTAAAAACTAAATTAATTCCAGGGAAAATAGAACTAAAACCAACCTTCTGACAGCCCACCAACCCTTGACCAAGACAGCGCACTTATTAAGACAAGTAATAACATCATTCGGAGTAACTTTAATTTTATCTGAAGCCCGACCTCTAAGACAATCCATCAGTTTTTCAAACTTTATGACTTGAACTAAAAGAAATATGAAATTTTGATTTTCATACCTTTCACCAGAATATTCCGAACAAGCTCCACAAGCGTCAGTTTCTTATTCTTGTCATCCTCCACCGGTGTTACTCTAAATATTAAGCAATAGAAAATAAAATAATTACTTAGAAGAGTCTTCACGCAACGGGGCGAGAAGCTTAGAATTCCAAAATTCCTGAGTAAATTCGTGGCAATCATGAGAAACGTTGTCTGCAGTACACATCAGGCAGCTTCGATTTTCATAGGCATATAGAGGCTAAGAAGACGTGAAATTACTAAAGCGAGAATGTACATTATAAGGTTTAAAACGAGCAGGTCTCCAGGGCGTTAAACTAAGTTGTGAAAGATATTTGAGATCTTCGTCATTTTCAGCAGTTTTTCGTCGACTTGCAAGGCGTTTGGCGCCAAACATTTCAGCCTCTGTCCGCATTCGAGCAGAAACAACAGTAGATGAAGAAGTAGGTGGCTGGGACGACACAATTGGACCCTCAAGGAACTCCGAAACTAAGAAAAAACATTTAGCATAGAAAGACCAACCAACTTTTAATAGGCTCTTTGACGTTATCCATAACTAGATCATCATTTTTATATCTAACGAAATGGCACTCGCCTAAAAACATTTTATAAATTTTCAAAATAAATTACCATTAATAAAATAACCAAGCAAAGTACAACTGTTCTTTTCGGGTATTGAACGAAGAGTATATGAGTCCCTGTATGAAAAGTTATACAAAATTACAATAACAAACTTCTTCTCCGCACTTGCTTTTATATTGTCCAATCTGCCATCGCCAACAGTTATTTCCAAATGATCTAGACTGGCTTTAATTCTAGATCCCTTAATGATCTCCGTCTCAAGAGGACGAGAAAAAGGACGATTTTTGTGCTAAATTTGATTAAAAATGGAACTATTTACTAACCCGTAGAACCAACAAACGGCTCGAAATTTCCGGAGACATATAACAATCAATCTGAGAGTTAGTAACGAAAAGTCCCTACCTCTTTAACCAATTTAGGGCTATTATTTGATGCACCCTTCTCCATATGAATATCACAAACAATGCACCAAACCAACGTGACGGAACATACACCCCTCTAATATGCCCTTGGTACGAGGGTTGTTCAAATACTTTAATAAAGGCGTAGAAAAAGAGAAACTCTCAAACCGCATTTTTGAAGCATTGATCTAAATACTTCTTAAAAATAAATTAATATTTTATACATATCATTTTATCTAATTCATTAGACAAGACATGTTTTATTTATAAAAGGAACAATTTCCTGCCGCTGAACTGAAGAAATTAAACAAATATGCCAATATTAGTCTTTTTAACATATTGCAAGTATCTACGGAAATTCTGTAAATTATTTAAAACAATTGAGGGTTGTTAATCAGAGTGCCGCCTCTTTAATATTGCGTGTCTTCGCTTACCTTAATCATGGTTTGTTATGCGTTATGTATTATTGTTTCTATGCTAAAATTGTTAATCAGATCTGTTCTCTAATGTTTACTTCTTTTGTTTATTATCAAAATCGACATATTTTTATCGTCCATCTCTAGCTTTTAATATTTATATTTAAACAGCCATTGTTTCGTCCTCTTGGTTTTGGTCCTATTTCCTTAAGCTGACTGATTTTTAATTTTTTTCAGTTTGCTCTTCAACCTGTGCAAGTTCTTAATCCTGGAGCTGATGAAGAAAAGGCTGAGACAGCGCGCCTTGTAAGGTCTCTTACCCACTTGGTACTAATAATTCTAGTCTTCTTTTATGGGTGCCATTGCCATTGGTGATCTTGTCAAAAGCACCCTGGGTCCTAAAGGAATGGATAAAATTCTTTTAAGTGGTGAGGGTTTTGAAGTTACTAATGATGGTGCCACAATTCTCAAGTCAATTGGCGTAGATAATCCCGCTGCCAAAATTCTCGTTGGTACGCATACCATTGTGCTTAAATTAGCTTCTTTTTAGAAATGAGCAAAGTTCAGGATTCTGAGGTTGGTGATGGCACAACATCTGTAACGGTGTTTGCTTCCGAACTTCTTCGCGTATGTTTCTATATGATTATAGATATTCAATTATTTAGGAGGCTGAAACACTTGTTGGTGCTAAATTTCATCCACAAACTATCGTTGCCGGATGGAGGGAAGCAACTAAGGTGGCATTAAAAGCTTTAGAAAATGCAGCCCTTCTTCACACAGGAACTAACGCCGAACTTCATAATGATGCCAATTTTCGTGAACAACTTCTTAAAGTTGCTAGAACGACATTAAGCTCCAAGCTTCTTACACATCATAATGAACACTTCGCTAATTTAGCTGTTAATGCTATTCTTCGTCTGAAAGGAAGTGGCAATCTCGATGCCATTCAAATCATTCAAAAGCTTGGTGGTACTCTTTCTGACTCTTATCTCGACGAAGGGTTCTTGCTGGACAAGAAAATTGGTGTAAATCAGCCGAAGCGCGTGGAAAATGCCAAAATTCTTATTGCTAACACTCCCATGGATGCTGATAAAATTAAAATTTTCGGTTCCAAGATTCGTGTTGATGCTATTTCCAAAATCGCCGATTTGGAAATCGCCGAAAAGGAAAAAATGAAGAATAAGGTCGAGAAGATTATTGGTCATGGTTGCAATGTTTTCATTAACCGGCAGTTAATTTATAACTATCCTGAACAGCTCTTTGCTGACGCTGGTGTTATGGCTATTGAGCATGCAGATTTTGAAGGAGTTGAGCGTCTAGCACTTGTGACTGGTGGTGATATCGTTTCTACTTTCGATTCTCCCGAAACAGCCAAGCTTGGGCACTGTGAACTTATTGAGGAGGTAAAATTTTTAATTTGAAAGCTGAGGCCTATATGGTGTGGCTGATGAAGATTGCAATATCTATTTCATTATCTTATATTCAATGCTTGTTCTTCGGGCTTGAAAAATTTGGTGACATTTTTTATTTTCAAATTATATTGCAAGTGTTGTTGCAATTCTAAGTAGATGACGCTGAAGATGACCAAATTGTGCTATAATTAAGGTTCGATCAAATTACAAGTGATAGGCGTGCTAAGTTTTTGATAGCATATCTGTTAATATCGAAAAGTCCAATTCTCTTCGCTATGTCTGTTTTTCTTCCCGATTTGAAAGTCATGACGTTTTCCAAGTTTCCTATCATTTATCCTTCGAATGCTATTCTTGCTGTAAAATGGGCTTCGATAAATGCTCTTATAGTTGTTTCTGGACTATTTTCCTTTGGTTATGCTTTTCAATAGCAGTTCAAGTAGGAACGCTAATTAGTAGCTAATGGTTTGCGTTCTAATGCCAAATTTTTTCTTCAGACAACCATTGGTGAAGATCGTCTGATCAAGTTCTCTGGCGTTTCTCTTGGAGAAGCTTGCACAATCGTTCTTCGCGGGGCTACCAATTCCATCTTAGCAGAAGCTGAGCGTTCTCTGCACGATGCTCTTTGTGTTCTTCAGCAGACTGTTAAAGACCCAAGGACCGTTTGTGGAGGGGGTGCTATGGAAATGCTGATGGCTGAAGCTGTTGCTAAGGCAGCTGCCTCAACCCCTGGCAAGATAGCTATTGCTATGGAAGCCTTTGCCACCGCTCTTAGACGTCTTCCGAGTATCATTGCTGATAACGGAGGTTATGACAGTGCTGAGCTGGTTTCTCAACTGAGAGCTGCGCATGCTACTGGCAACCACAACATGGGACTCGGTAAGAATCATCTTTCTTTTAACCATTCCTTATCCACATAAATGATTAAATTGTTATTTTCTTTTATAGATATGGAAAATGGTTGTATCGCGAACATGAATGAATTAGGAATTAACGAGTCCTACAATGTGAAGAGACAGATTATCATGTCTGCTTCTGAAGCTGCTGAAATGATCATTCGTGTGGATGATATTATGCGTTCTGCTCCTCGTAAGAGGCAGCCGCAGCATCATTAAAAATTGAAGATTTAAAGTTGCATTTCGCGTTATTTAATGGACCTTCTCTTTTGGGTCGTTTTTTAATAAAAGAAGTTAATGTGCAGTGTTTAATTGATTTGCTTCACTTAATTGGAGACGATGTAGCCTATTTAGTTCGTTTTCGTCGTTATATTGGGGTTTTATTTGAATTATAGACCCAAATGTTCTATTCAACCCTAGCTACTTGAACTTTTTCATCGGTTGGAGAATGGCTCTTCATTTAGGCAATACATGCTTTTTGCATCTAAACCGCTTTGTGTTAGGATAAGGTACTTGAATAGGCAGTGCCAGTGCTTGTGATTCCGGACACGAGTAAGTACCACGGGGGAGATACGCATGTGCAGTCGACGACGGGGTTCTGGATATCATTAATTATTAGTACCACTTTAGACTTAAACTAGGGGAAACCAGCATGATGTTAAGCAGAGTGGGATTTGTGCAACGAATGCTATTTTAATTTTGAAAAACCAGTTTTAAGTTTCGTTCTAAGTGAATATCTTGCCGACAATTCTCATCCCTTTTCTCAATTTTGCCAGTTGAAATAGCTTTGACATCTTTTGGATTTGTAATTTCCCTTGATACCCTTTTAGGACGTATTACTATAGAATTTCATGATTCGAAGTTACTTTAAGATTATGGGTAAAGCGGGTATAGGTGAACTTTTATTAAGGAACATCATATTGAAAAGTGGAAGGAGGAGGTATCAATGCCATTCGCTTCATCGCCATTTCATATTTGCCTCCCAAATACTGGGGGTCAGGGCATGACGAAAGGCGTCGTCTTTCGTCGACTGGTCCTTATCTGAATGACCACATCGATTAATGAAGTTCATGGTTAATTTAATCTTCTCCAGCCACTCACTACTCGAAAAAACCCTACACCAAGGTTAAGAAAAAATGTTATTGACATCAATAAATGCCTGGTTAGAGGGCTGGCTTTGTCTTGTCAAATCTCACATTTAGCTCTTAGTATTCTATAACACAAGACCATATTCTATGTAATACATCATATTGACCACTCCATTTAGAAAGCATAAAGCCTCTGAGATGAAAAAATGTGAAGGGGCAGGAACCATCTTGCTCATGACCACGAATCTTCACCCAGAGCAAACGGCTCGAAGCTGAGCAAATGGTCTGACCCTGACAATAGCAACACTCACTCCCAATTCGGCTTTCTTGTTGGTACACTCTGCGAACAGGTCTGTACTTCCGTTCACCTATCAAAGTGATTTTGTTCGAATTCGCCTTATTTTCTGGCATCTCACAAAAAATCGCTTTTTACAAACTTGTAGGAGTGCCAATTAAAAACAAGTGTTATTGTTATTTTGGGTTATTTGTATAGTTATCTTCGCGCTTCATAGTTGATTTACGATTAAGATTATTTCCTTCTCCCTTGTTTAGATTATTCGAAGTTAACAAGACATTGGAGAATTCATAGATATTACTTTTTGTCAAGATGGGATGTGCGATAGACTTACCTCCACGTGGTGCACCCTGGAAAACATATACGCATGCGGCAAAAAAGTCTATTAACTGGCAGTTGATTTCTGACTCAAACTACCATGACCCCACTGTATGTCATATTCCACCATTTCACCGTACTCATCTTACCTTTTCTCTGCTTTTGCGTCTGTTTGTCCCTTTTAAATCTGTGAATCACACTTCCGTTCCCCACCCCTCGAATTTCTGTTACTTGATGTTCCTCCTCCTCCCTGTGAAATCCGAAGTCAGCTAAATGTCTAATGTTAACTATCAAAACGCCTGCCATATGAAATGAATAAATGATCTTTTGTCAATATCGGATACTATATAAATAGGCCTTGATTCAGGTTCAATAATCTTCGCCAAAATTCCCTCATGTCAAATTGTCCCCTTATTTGCCTAGACTACCTCAACAATATCGAGGAAACACAGTGTGTATCAAGTGAATAGGGTTTATTCCAGCTTATCACCACCGGCACAAAGCTTAGTCACTGGCTAGTGATTGCTGGTTTGCAGAAGTTTTGCACTCAGGATAGCATTTGCCCCTACTCGATCAGCATCACACCGCATCTTCCTGACTGTTAAAGTGCGCACGGGATATCTTTGTTCAATCTTAGTAGCAGTGTGTGCTCCAAAAGGGCGTTGAGGGTTTTAGAAGTGTTGAGCTTCATAAGAGGAAGATTTTAAGCTAATGGGAAGTATTATAGACCTGCTACAAATTTTTCTGTGATTTCGTCCTTTGATGATTATCGGATTTCTTGAAGTTCATTAGATGAATTTCCATGACTCATTTAAATGGACCGATGAGTGTACAAAAATATGAATCGATGTGTGTTATTGATAAATTCGGTAAGAATACAGCATTGCAGTAACCATTCATTTCGAAAATCTATCCGTCTTTCCAATACTATTGCTAAGTTGGTCTAATATTCATGCACCATCCGGCGACTTGAGTGTTATTGACCCCCCCCCTTCTCTCACCCCCGTCAATCCTATTCAGGTTGTCAAGCCAAATAACGAAATTGGCAGAACAAAACACTGCAGCTACATATATAAGCCGTTCCCCCACATTTATTTGTTTCATCAACCTAAGATGAGGTCTAAATGTATACATTCTCCTTCATTCATCTTAAATTGAGAAAGCATTCGATATTAAAGGACAATTTCAACACCTAAGCCTTTATTTTTGCTTCATTTAACTATGACTAGTCATAACCGAACTCCTCACCATAGCAAATGACCGCATTATCCGTCAAATACCAGAACCCCAGTTCCCATGGCCTGTCTTGATTTAAGGTCCATACATACTTAATAGGACAAGTGACCAATTTTGAGCACAAGCAAATTAGTAACGATTCTCCATAACAACTTTTTAGTACACAGTAATAAAAATCAAATACGCACAAAAAACGTTTGAGCTGAGGAAAGTCAATGGTGTGTATGTGGGGAGGTATTTACAAAAACTATCCAATATATTTAAAGAAACGCCGATTTCATTTATAGTTACTATTAATGCTGTTCTTCTGTTTGCGCTAATGTGCATGAGAGAAGATAGGAACTGCCGGAAGGCCATATACAATCACCGATTTGCCAACTAGACTTTGCAGTTTGCACACCTTAGTGGACTTAAAGATTTTCCAGGTCATGGTTAGCCTTGAACTTTCTGCCTCATTGTTTTCTTTGTCTCCATTCTCATCCTCCCCGATCTCCTTCGATCGAATCCAGTTATCGAGGAAACATTGGGTAAAACGATCAATGTCCTTGTCTGTTACATCCCACATTAGGGTCACTGCTGTAGGACTATAAAAGCAAAAAATAATGCTCATGACTCATACATGCGGTGTAGTTTTATTATGCATTATTAATGTACATCCTACAGTACATATTCGTAAATCTTCTTCCATAAACAGAAATGAAGGTGTCTAAAAGCATCAAGAAATTACAGTGGACTATAATCTCCTTGAGAGGACTCCATTCAATCCCTTGTCCCCTCCAATTACTAGACTATTCCGGAATTCCACCACAAAATTGTCCTGTTCTGCTCCAAAAATAAAAAGATTCACAGATATTCATGTTGAACAGAGAAAGGAGAAAAAATAGTTGCCACGCTGAGAAACGAGCATGTGAAACGAACCCATGGTCTCCGACATCGCAAATGGGCATAGAAAATTAATATTCTACTGATAATAAACAAAAATCACTTAACTCTTGACAAATACTTTCGAAAGTGATTCTACAGCGTGCAGTCTCAGCATTAGTTTAACAACACAGAACAGTCAAAATAATCGAACCTTCAGGTGAACACCAACTCGACAATTGGATTAAGTAGGTAATGATTAAAAAATTGCAGTAAAACTTACGCCCCAGATATGAGGTGGTTGAATACCGACGCATATGCCTCATGCCTTCCCTCGATTCTCGGACGGCCAGAACTGCAACCAATGATAAAAGCCACCGCTTTTGAGTTTACTCCCTCATCAAAGGTCGGCATCAAGCACTTAGATCCATTTCCATGCCCAAGATAAACAAAGAGATCCTTCTGAACAAATCCTTCAACGACTTCGTCGGGTTGGGGCATACGTCCATAGATCCCACTCCATTTGGGGAAGTGCTGTGTGAAGTAGGATTGGAAAGTTTCCTCAGTACTTGGCAGATTAGCCTCTGGATTGACCACATAAAATGCGGAGTCGGAGTTGAACTTCGCAACATTGAACTTCTTTAGACTCTGATGACCAATTAGAAGAGTGAGAGAGAAGTTTCGACAGACAGTGGGAACAGAACAATTCTGATCACATTCGTCCAACTGACCCCATATGATCCATTCCCATGGCAAAAGAGTCAGTTGCTTAATTAAAACAAGGAAGATTAGATTGCTTATTCCAAGATGATCATTGCTCGAAAATCGAACCAGTGACTTACTCTATCGAGAATGAGTACAGTAGGACGGTCATGAATTGACATTTGTGAGTCAGCTTTTTGTTTAATCCATTGAAGTTCTTCGGTCGTAAAACAGTCGTTTCGAATACCGTCAATTAAATTCTAAAAAGATATAGAGAAACTGAACTGTGCTCAATAGCAAGACACATTGAAGCGTACTGTTTTAACCCCTAAATGCATAACTTCTGATATGCTGAAGATTATCGAAAGTCCGCGCATCTTAAAATCAAAATATTCATGACAATGTTACGCCGGTGTGATAATTCCTTCCAGATAGTTAGACAGTTCTTCCTTGTTGCTATGAATCTGTACAGACGCATCTTATTTAATTATTACTAATACTGTGACATACGGACCCTAGTGCCGTAGCACATGATGAGATTCGCGATTTGAGCATGAGCGATTTGAGCGGGGTCACATAAAATTCCACATATACTACTTTAAATTAAAGTAAATAATATTAATATATCATTCTGTATCCACACACAAGAGACCTCTTTTAGCTCGGCTAACCTGCAAAATTAGGATTTGGAATCAGAACTGAATGAAAAGGTCTATTGAATGGATTTCGCGTAACTACGCAATATATATCAGAAACTCAAATTGAGGTTGACATTTACCTTTAATCTAGAATCCAGGGAGAATCGCTGTGCCCAAAATTGACGTCTATCGCTTTCCAACATAGACGAATTATTCTGGTTTTGTAGGTCCTCCAATTCCCTCATGTAGTGCGGACCCTAGAACAATGGAATATAAATTTGTAAGATGATAACTTCCCAATGTTACTCCAACAAACTGGAAGAAAGTCAACTCACTACACTAGAAAATTTGTGTATAACCCTTGATTCAATGCACGCATCCGTCTCGCCCAGGAACCACCGAGTAGCAATCAGATGCAACTGTTTCCTCGCTCCCAGACCACCAGCGATAAGGTCACTCGCGGATTGACTTCCATTCTCATCGCAGCCTTCAAAACTACTTAATTGACCCAATTCATCCACAAGCATGAGTTGAATCACATTGGTGGGTGGAATGGATTTCCAATTCGAAATGAGATAAGTACTTGAATCATAGGGAGCTGACACAGCATAGGTTGTTCGTAGTGACTGCGCCACGTCTTCAATCCTAAAGGGAATGGACAGAGACGACTTTACAAGTAAGCAAAACAAGGGTTTATTGAAATTAGTCATGAAGCCAATTCCCTGTATCCACAGGTAGCAGTGGAAAGAAGATTTCGATGTAATAGAGGATATGCAGGATAAAAACGGAAAGTCAGAGAACATGGGAGTAATGCCCAATGGTGTACACTCAATGAAGAGGATAGAGAACAACTTAAGACAAGAACCCTAATAGCACAATAATGCAAAGTGCATTCAACCAATAAACGCCAAACAAAAATTTAGAAGAAAGCTGAGACAAATATATGAGTAAGTTTTCAGGTTGACAGTTTTTATAGCCAAAACAGCCAACAATATCAACTCCCGTCTCCAATTATTCAAAATCTCAACTCAATTCGCACACAATGAAATGTGCCCGAATGAAATTTGCGTGTGAACTTACGCATACCCAATTCACTACCGATAAAGCCATAAAATGCTCAAAATTACAGATGTATTTCAGTAACGTACAAGGCAAGGATGATTAAAATGTGTGCCTATTCAGAGGACCATCTGATATTTTTCAATAACGAGGCACCTACTTGTACACATAGAAGAATAAATACTAGGTTAAGAAATAAGCAGCCATAGCATCACTCTAGCAGTACAAAGCTCTTACTTAATCTTTGAAGACAGCATAGAAGTGAACAATCCACAGGCGGCATTTCCGATGGCTTGAGCAAAGTACCGAGCAGCCTGTTTCTGATCACCCCGTCCTAAGAGACGCAGACCCAGCCACTGGCAAACAGGTCGCATGAGATGAGGAACAGGTAGGGTGGCAAGAGTGGCGTAAGTGGCATACAAGCGGTCTGCAAGGGCATTCTGAGATTTGATCAAACTTTCAGGAGGATTTTGGAGGCTAGATCCATCAGCTACATTGATTGGCATCTTCGGTTGAAGGCCGTGAAGAAGGTACTTATTTGTAAGGCGGGCATTAGTGGGGAGGGGCTCACGATAGGCCAAAACGGGACATGATTCAATTGGCTCAATGGTGTCCTCATCTTGAGAGTCTTTTTGAGGTTTTGCTAGATTCTCATTCCCCTCTTTTAACATTTTACGAACGCGATGGAGAGGTTTTATTCCATCAGGTCGCTTGAATACATCTTCCGATTTTGGTGCTCTCTACAAAGAAAATAGACGATGTAAGGTAAATCACGTAATAGAAAGAACAGAGGGTCTGAATTTAACAATTACTATGAGCGATTTAAACAGTTGCTTCAAAAAGGAAACAATAAATGGGCGCATAATATGAAATTTCCCCTAATGGTGGCTTAGAGAGGTGACTGACTGAATCGAGTTCATATCTGCAGTTGGCTCGGCATTGATAATAAATGTATAACAAGAGTAGATAATTTTAGTGTGACAATCGTGGTGGGGTGTACGATAGACTTACCACCACGTGGTGCACCCTGGGTAACGTATACTCATACAGCAGAAAAAGTCTATAAACAGGCTTTAAACTACCATGAACCGAGTGTATACTATATTCCACCACTTCCATAGTACCCACCTAACCTTACCTTTTTCTCTAACTTTGTGTCTGTTTCTTTTACATTTGTGAATCACTCTTCTGTCCCCCCCCCGCCTCCACTTTTTTGTGACTTCGTCTGTTCCTGCTCTCTGTGAAGCTCGAAGTCAACTAAAGGGATAATGATTTTAAAAAAATCTTCATTTGATAGACGATAATTTTCGAAGCGATGCGGGAAGGCATTTCCCAAATCCTATCTTCCGTTGGGAGTTTCACTAGAGAGCCAGGCTCAACCACCAGGACGGTTGGCTATTCCGCTCGATGAGTG